AAAACCAAACAAAATACTGATTGAAGAGATAGCGTAGCTCTAGGTTTGGGATGGCTAGATATTGATAGAACTGACCTTCAAAGAATTGCATTCTTCAGTCTGCTACACAAGACGTAATTAAATAATAACACCAACTGTGAAGATATGCCCCAATAATGGGACAGTTAAGAAATGGGGGGTCTGTGACTTAGAAACAAGAAGAGCTCCATGGAGGAGCTGAGACTTGAGCTGGAGGTTAATTTTCAGATGGGCAGGAGGAGGCCAGCAGATCCATTTGGATACTTTGTCCTCTCTCTTACAGGAAGCAGCAAGTTTTTAAGGTTACCTTTAGGCCCTGAAGGTTTCTTACGAAATCACGATTTCAAAATTCATTCGCGAATAAGTCATTATAAGTTATGCATAGTCAGCTCCAGAGATCGTAATCCCAAAATTAAACTACTGCTGCCATTGTGATATCAGATGCCATGAAGTAAATTCTACTTTTTCAGCCACACAATTTAGGAGCAAGGATAAACTTCCTGAAAGATGAAAAGTTCTAGAGTGAGATTGCCACAATACAGGGAAAAAATGCAAAAGAGAAAATAAGCTTGGGTGTGATATGGCCAAAAGCAAAATGGCATTTACCATTCTCTTTCATCTGCTGAAGCTATGCTAAATATTTCCGATGTTAGAATACATAAAATTAATGCAGATCCAAAGAGCCTAGCTTGAATTGAGGTAGCAGAGGAATTTGAGTATTTTTATCTGATGATATAATAGGTTTTCTTCCTTGAAGTTGACTTAGAAGAAAGCTGGGATATTACAAAAGTGGATCAAAAATAGTTTGAGAAGCCAAATCCTTTTCTATATTACTATGCCTCCTCTTGATCCAGATTGTCTTACTAGTATTTGCTTCCTTACCCTCTGTGGTAGATTAATGGTGGCTACAAATTCTTTGTGTCTATGTCCATCAAGATTTATTTGGCCCATCCTTGCATCTCAGGTGGCATCGTGACTGTCTAGCCAGTAGGATGCAGTGGAAATAAGTTTTGCCGCTTCCAGATCTAGACTTTAGGAGGCCTGGCAGCTGGCACTTCCTCCCTTTCAGAACCCAGCTGTGATGCTGCAAAAAACCCGAGCCACTTAGAGAGGCCACAGGTTGGTGCACCATCCACCAGTCCCAGCTGGGCTCCCAGCTGACATCTGGCATCAGCTGCCAGTCATATGTGTGAGCCCTCTTCAGTGCTTCAGCCCAATTGCATCTTCAGCTCCTGTAGCACTAGCTGCCAACAAGTGGAGCAGAAGAACCACTCAGCTGAACCTAGTGAGCCTGCAGACTAATGAGATAATATACAATGGTTGTTATTTTTAGCTATTACAGAGCAGTTAGTTTCATAGCAATACAAAACTAAAATAGCTTTCAAAAGAAAATCCTTGAACTGAGACTATGGAAGAGTTCATTCCATGTAGACTATAAATAGTTATTATTTAAATGGCCTGTGTTTAATTCTTATAATGTCTGAAAATCAGTAGGACAAATTTTAGAAGACACGTATTTTGGAAACTAGGTGCTTATAAGTTTGTTTACTAGTTAAATGAAGGTAATGACTGTTTCAGTGTTCCATTTTCTGGCTTGCTTATTTTCCTATTGAAGTGATAGGTAAGCAGTACATAATCAGATGCGTTCTTTTGATTATAAAAAGAGAAGCAGTATTTTTCAGCAGAAATAGCACGAGTCAGACCTTTGCTCAGATCTTGGTTCTATAGCTTAATAGCTGCATGTTCATGGCCAAGTTACCGAAGCTGCCTGAATCTGTTTCTTTTATTTTCAAGCTAATATGTACTGTATAAGATTTGTGAAGATAAAAAATAATGTATGTTAAGAACCTAGCAGAGTTCCTGGCACAAAGGTGGAGCTAAATAAATGTTCCTTTTTTTGTCAGGAAGGAGGTGGTAATGTGGCTTTAAAAAGGTAGTAAAAATTCATCTCTTGTTCATTTTTTAAGGAGACATGGAAATATGGGTGTTCCTGGGCTTTACTGGGGTGAAGCCTAAAGAATTAAAGTGATATATCTTTGCAGTTCTTCCTACAGACAGACATGTTTTACCTGAAGGAAATTCTGGTTCTTAATCCCATATACACTGCCCTTCCTCACTTCATTATTACTACAAAGGATTTGATAAAGGGTTAAGGACAATTTCTGTCTCCTTGTCTCAAGGACAGAGCCTATGGAGAATTCCTTTCATTCTTTCCCTCCTGTTCTACTCCCTTTCCTCAGTTACATTCACCTTCTACTTTGGTGGGAAACAGCTTTGCAGGATGCTGGTTCTCTGCAAGCTGATCTTAGCTCCAAGGTGCACATTCTGGTCCATCTCCAGGGAGGATGAGTGCACATGCCACAGTCTGATTTGTGTAGTCAGGAGAAATACCCGCTGTGTCAGCCTCCAGGTCCGTCTCTGTTTGCCCTTAGCCTTTATATAACACACTGTTTTCCTTTGTACATGTTGGCTGTCTTCGATAGGACAGCTAATGCCTGGTCATTTCTTTGTCTGCTGAATATGTTTGCTCTTAATGATTAAGGTGAGGTGAATAGTTGTTATTGGTGCAAGTTAAGGACCACTTTTCTTAACTACCGGTTATGGTTCTTGGTATCTTCTCTTCCCTGCCTGACTTGGGCTACCTGAATTCCATGTGGATCTTTCTTTGGAATTCAGATGACTTTGGTTGTGGATGACATGCCAATGTATTATACTTGAGTGTAATACTGGAGGAGTTAAGTGCCACACATTTAAACTAGGTGATCTCTAAAGGAATTATAAATTACCCTAATTTAGCATAAGCGTTTACTTGCTTATATCATTTTTGAATATTTACATAAATATTGATAATTAAAATATTAATATCTCTCAGTGTAAATACTGTAAATGCTTCAATATAGATTTTCCGTCATATGAAATTTCACATCCATTGCTAGAATCTTTAAGAAAACTCTCACTGCTTTAAAATAAAATCATTTTAAAAAATTAATTAAATAGTCAAAGCTAGAAACTGGGCACAGAAATTATTTTAAAATACTAGTTACTTGGACATAAGTGCAGGTTATGTAGAGGTGAGCTTTGGGATAATTTTGCTCAGAAGCTTGTCATAGTCATAATGACAATTATTCAGATTGATTCAGGCTTTTGTTGTGGTTGGTAGCTCTAGTACCGCAAACACATTTTACAATAATATCCTTTTAATTATCTATAATTATAGACTAATTTCATTTTGAAAGAAACTGTAATATTCTTATCCCTTGTCCACTTAAAGCTGAAAAATAATTCAAAGCAGTGAAGATTGTACTATACAAAATAGAGTGTGCTTAAAGCAGCTTTTCTCAGGACTTGAGTCATAAATTTTATTGTTTCTGAGACTCATATGATGGTTATGTACTATAGATTTAGAGAGAGTTTCTAAGACTCCTCTTGACATAGGTGAGCACAATGGTTCCTTGGAAACCATTCAGGTGTGCGGCCACTGTAAAGTGTGGAGGAAAGGTCCAGCTGCAGGCAGCGTGCACTGGCACACACCGAATGGGAAGTTCAGAGGCGCCTGTCTCTCTATAAAGGACAGTGAATTTCTCTTGGTCTTTTAACGATTGCTGTTTTAGAAGGGGGGGAAAAATCAGCATTGAAACTATCTGTAAGGTAAAACTACTGAAACATAACCCAAAAAGGCATGCTCTTACAGAAAACTCTTCTTAATTCTTGCAGTGTGGTGATAGAGGACATGTGTTATACATTACAGCGCCCGGGGAATTGAAACCTCCGCCGCGTGGAGTCACAGTGAAGGCTAATTTCAAAATGAAGTGGTAGCCTTTGCTCCCTGTGTAGCTCTGTTACTTACCAGTGTTTCTTATTAGCTTGACATTAGTCGAGGGCTGCTGTGGGTGGGACAGGGAAATGGACATTTAAAGGGGGCCAGAGTGAGGATATATGAACCTCTCTCTCCCCTGCCCAGCAGCCGCCTCCTCCAGCACACACTCAGCACTTCGCGCTGGGCACTACAAAGTCTTACACAATCTGTCTGCAAAGGGTTGAAGGCAGAGCTGTCCATGGTTAGAAAAAACGTCCTGGCCGTGGGTTGAAAATCAGGTAATAACAGTCCTCTTGGTGAACAAAACTTATTAGCGGGCTGGGGCAGGAATGCTGGCTCTCAGCAGCAGGCAGGAGAAATTGCTGTTGCAACGCTTACCTCTCTAGGGAGGAATCAGATATCAGACTTTGCCAAGCCTGAGGTCCAACCCCTGAGGTCCCACCTACATCCCCGCCCCATCCCAGCTTTGTTAGATTGCTAGCATCGATCGCTGGCTTTTCTCTGACCCAACAGTGGGTGAAGGGAAGAGCCAGCAAGACTGAAAGCAAACAAGGTGGGGGTGGAAAGACTGGAGCCGCTTTTGCAGAGAGCAAAAGAAAAAAGAAAGAAAAGAGGTGGGGGCCATGGGGACTCAGCTTAACTGGTGCCTGCCTGCTTCTCTTTGATTTGATGGCCTTTATTCCTTCTAATTGGATAAAATAGGAAGTCACTGGCTGTCCTGTGTTGCTGGGTGCACTGATTTTACTCAGAGCGGCCAGCAGCTCTAGAGTGTGGACAGTCGGTGGGGGTTGGGATAGGAGGGAGGAAAAAGAGACAGAGAGAGACAGAGAGAGACAGAGAGAGAGAGAGAGAGAGAGAGAGGGAGAGAGAGAGGGAGAGAGAGAGAGAACGTCTTTGAAAGAGGAGTGGAAAGAAAGAGCAAGAGACTGAAGAAAGGGAGAGCCGCAGAGGAAGAAAGTGAATGAGCGCTCAGGAGCACAAAGAGGAGTGGTTGGTGGGGGTGGGGGTGGAGGCAGGGCGGGGAGGGGAGTTACCGCCCCTCCTGGCCGCACTCTTCCCCGCGGGTCCCTCTGCGAGGATGCTGTGTGCAGTGATGCTCAGAGGGCAGGCACCTGCTGCTCTGTAATGATTCAGCCTCGTTCCGCCGTCACGTTAACACAACAGGATGCTGTTGCTACTGTCACTGCTGCCCCTCCTGCCGCCGCCGCTGCTGCCTCCACCGCCGCCAGCGCTGGTCCTGCTTTTGCTCTTACTTCTCCTGCATGACAGTTGTTTTCTCCATCTAAGCAGACAGCAGCTTCAGATGCTCGAGGTGAGAAACATGCCTTTCAGTTTGGGCTACTGGTTTACTTAATCGACCCACCGTCAGCTCGGTTTCTATTTTGGCCCCTGTCCTCTGGACCAGCCCGGATGGTTGGGAGAAGCATTTAAAAGAACTGCAAAAGTGGCCCTAAAACAGCGCTAAAGAATTACAATATACTTTTATTTGGTAGTTGCTAGAGGCTTTTTCTTTTTCTTCCTTCCTCCTGAACTCCTCTTGCTTTTGATAATGGCCTTGGACTTGGACGACTTATCGATTTCCCCCTGTAAGATGCTGTATCATTTGGTTGGGGGGGGCTCTGCGTGGTAATGGACCGTGAGAGAGGCCAGGCCTTCTGGAGGTGAGCCGATGGAGATCTATTCCCCAGACATGTCTGAGGGAGCTGCTGAGAGGTCCTCCAGCCCCTCCACTCAGCTGAGTGCAGACCCATCTCTTGATGGGCTTCCAGCAGCGGAAGACATGCCAGAGACCCAGACTGAAGATGGGAGAACCCCCGGACTCGTGGGCCTGGCCGTTCCCTGCTGCGTCTGCCTGGAAGCCGAGCGCCTGAGAGGTTGTCTCAACTCAGAGAAAATCTGCATTGTCCCCATTCTGGCTTGCCTAGTCAGCCTCTGCCTCTGCATCGCCGGCCTCAAGTGGGTATTTGTGGACAAGATATTTGAGTATGATTCTCCTTCTCACCTTGACCCTGGGGGGTTAGGCCAGGACCCTATTATTTCTCTGGATCCAACTGCCGCCTCAGCTGTGTGGGTATCATCTGAGGCATATACTTCACCTGTCTCTAGGGCTCAATCTGAAACTGAGGTTCAAGTTACAGTGAAAGTTGACAATACTGCTGTGTCCTCTGAACCATCAGCCGTACCAACCCCGAAGAATCGTATCTTTGCTTTTTCTTTCCTGCCACCCACTGCACCGTCCTTCCCTTCACCCACTGGGAACCCTGAGGTGAGAACACCCAAGTCAGCAACTCAGCCACAAACAACAGAAACTAATCTCCAAACTGCTCCTAAACTTTGTAAGTAGAGAGAGAGAGATGATGATGAGTAAAAGACAGGGGTGGGCTTGAGGTCCTAAAAATTGTCCTCTAGAGCAATGTAGCCGTTTTCTTCTTGTGTTTCAATTGCATGGTTTTGTTTAAGCATTATCATGTGACTGGGATGCTTGGAGTGGCAATGAAGAGATGAGTAAAAAGCTCTTACAAACTGCTGGTATATTTTCATTGCTCTAACTGCAGCTCCTTTGGGCCAGATTGCTAAGTCTGGGGTGGAGGACCTAAAACTTCAGTGTCTTTGAGTCATGCTTAAATTTAAGTTAAATTCAATTTATTTCTAACACTTTGAGGTTAAAATATCAGATCATCGTTGTTTTTTATGTTCACTGTGACTTCCATATAGCAATGGGTATGATTTTGTCCTTCTTTTCCTCATAGAGTCTTCCTGGTACCTCTCTTCACCTTTCAGTTTCTCTTCACCTCTCAGTAGGTCCCATCTGCCTATAGTCTTTCTCCATCTCTTCTTCCTAGTCCCTTAACCACTTCTCCCCACGTTCGTATTTGAAATGATTCTTTCTGATACTGCATCAAGTCTCTACCCAGTGACAGTGCTCGCCTCTCACCAGCATCAGAGGATCAGCGTCCTGCCCAGATTGTAGTTCCGGTTACTGGACACTTATTAGGGGCAGCCTTATTTTATTCAAGTCACTGTACAATTCTGCATGAAGGGGTTTTCCCAGGTTAGTTTTGTCTTCTGTAATCAAATGTTTAAGTAGCTTCCTTGGTGGTCATTAAAACGTCCAAGATCCATTAGGAAGGTACATCCCTTTTCTTTTTTTCGGCATGGGTCATTGGCCCGTCAGATTGCAGCAGCCCAGCTTCCTAACCTGCGAGTGAAGAGCCCACACTTTTAAAACAATACAGAGCAACGTGCTGCTGTTTGTATTGGATCATTGCAATGCTTTACAATGGGAAGTTGACAACGAGGAAACCATAACTAGTCAGAATATTCTAAACGTCAGTATAGAAGGGAGGAGTTTATAGCTTTAAAAAAAAAAGTCTGTAATTAACTTTTGTTTCTCTACTTTCTATCACTATCTAACCTTGATGAATTTTCCCTTAGTAGAAAAATGTGAAAGATCAGAGAAGTTGGTTCTCAGTAATGTATGTAAAATCTCTTGGAGTTAAAGGTGAGTTGAGGGTAAGGATTCAGTGATGAAATACTCACTCCATCTGTTTTCCCTCTAGATGGTAATGAGGAAGAAAGAATATATCTTCCAGAAATTATGTTCAGGATGAGGTAGAGCTGTGTGTTATAGAAACACAGGAAAACTTGATTTCTGCTTGTGATTCAAGATTGTTCCATATGCACCAGTTTCAGTGGCAAAGGTTTAAAAAAAATGAGGCTTGTTTTGCAGGTGTAATTAGGGAAGAAGCTCCCCTCTTCAGACACTGCTTTGTATCTTTATCAAATCCCTGAAGCATCATTAAAGGTCTGACAGACATCACTGCATTCGCCGCCTCTTCCCACCTGGCAAAGTGACCGGGAAATAATACCCAGATGAAATGACAGGCTATAAAAAGCAAGTACAGATCCTGCAAGGAGAAGCAAAATTCACCATGAAGACAAGGTTACTTCTTTGTCTTTAGCGTTTTAAACTTGTCTTTACTGAAAATGTGGCTGAATAGGTTTAGTTGTTCAGAAAAGGAAAGAGGACGCTTTGGAAAAACTTGTTATCTAAATTCTATAATTTTGTCACCTAAGGAAAATAAAAAAAGAAAGATCCAGCATATTTTCCTGGGCTAGGACCATATCAAAAAGTATATGTTGACTTTCTGAGAAATTATTTTTTAAGGTGAATTTGCCTACTTACGTGTTTTAATAGATTATGCATTCCATATAGTTTATATAAAAAAAAATTTTTTTTTCCAAGCCAGGATATTGATTGTCTAGCATCCATGTTGAGTGAAAAAGATTTACTGCTGCCTAAAAGCATCACAGTGACCGGCGCTGGCCCGATGCAGAGCTGCAGCCTTTGGAAGCGCATTGGAAATAAGTGTGGAAAAGCAGTCTGGGAAATAGTTTTCTCCTGAAAAGTTAGGACTGGACAGTTGGTTAACACTGTACAGCCTGTAGGGTTTTCTGTGTGGGGAAATTCAGTGTTAATTTTTTTTTCAATAATGCCTAAAAACAACAAAATTACTAATATCCAAAAAAAAATTCTTTTTTTGTTTTTTTTAAAGGTTAGTCCTTGGAGCCTTGTTTGCAGACACTCATAAGTGGTTGCTTTTATTATTTAAAAAGCTTGTAACCATTAACTAGAGGAAAGGGAAAAAAAGGCTTGGAACTAAATTTTGTTATTCTGTAATCTCTATCACTTCTTTTCAACTAAGAAAGTATTGCTTAGTCACAGGAAGAACTGCAGCTTTTCTTTCATCATGCATGTTTTTGACATGAACTAAGCATCCTTAAAAGGACATTATCATACCCGAAACATGCTCTTCATTGGTTTCGGGACCTTAGTCTCCCTTTCCTATCTGTCTCAGCATATTCAGCATATTATGCACAGAGCTGTAACCTTCAAGGTCATAGCCTGTTAAGGGCTAATTGATTCTTCTTTATCCTGGAGCCTGAGAGAGTGGAGGAGAGACAATCCTGGTAATTGTGTCTGCTGTGTTATTTCCCAAACCATTCTACCTATTACCATTAGGGTTTTATTCTATAAATACTAGAGCTACTCCCTTCCTCACTGATTCCTTTAAAGTTAAAACATCCTTTGTCTTTAATATAATAAAAGGCAAAATAGAGCATTTTAAATTGCCTATAGATAGATTGGCTATGCCAGATTTTATGAAGTGGGTATTTCTTTCATAGGGCAATATAATTTCACATTTTCATTATCTTAATCTATAAATTCATATAGATCTTAAGAAATCTAATACAGGGCTGATATATGCATGTATTTTATATATTGTATATAAATATATACATGATATATACAAAATTCTGAAGTTTTTCTGGATGTGATTAGTGGTTTTTCACTACTGCACTCATTATATCGCCATGAGAATAGTTTTTATTTTTCATCAAGTCACGTTAACACTTGAACCATTAATTTGTATGATTATTTTTCTGGGCTTTTAAATTTTTCTTACCCTCTATTTCTGTGGAAAGAACTGACTCTGGGAGATTGCAGACTTAGATTACTGTAAAAAGAGCTGATTAATTAAATTGTAGCCAGGAAGCTGCGGTGCCATCTTGAAAGACAATGTATTTCTATATGGTACAGGCTGCTTGTCAACAGACTCTTGGATACAAGAATGTATTAGTATTTTCATCTTAGGCCAAATGTGTTTGCTTTGTCTTAAATCTTTGTATTGGGTTGCATGGCAAACCATTGTTACCACAGTGACAATGTGAATCACTACCATTTGCAAAGCTCAACATGATTCATTTAATTTATCAAAGGATTCCTTCCCTTCCACTTAAAAATAGCATTTATTTTTAGCACAATAGAGACTTCTAGATCCTTGTAACTCTACTCGTAGGTATTTCAGAATGGTGTTTTCAAACAACTTTTCTCTACTTGGACCATACTTACTTAAAACCTAAGACATTACAAACAGGAAGAAACTGAAAGATCCCCAATTTGAACCAAATTATTTTATTCATTTACTGATGAGGCAACCCAGACTCTGGAAGAATTAGTGAAATTCTTTTACTAAAATTCACAAACTTGGAAAGGTTTAGTGAAATCCAAGAAGCCGCAGACAGAGTAGCTGGTCTGCCTCCTATCCTCTTTGCCCTGCTCTGGAGTCAGAGCTGGAGGTGAGCTCTGCTGGTTTTGGTGGCACCTGACCAATAGTTCGGGAGTGCTTCTGGTGGGACCACTGGCCAAGCATGTATAGTGCATACCATTACAATTACAGTTTCTTTTTGCCTCTTTCTTTTGCACTTATAAAATTTTCAGTAGTGGTGGTCTTTTCCCCTTTCAATTTGACCATCTATACAATGCTCAGCTTGCTTTAGAAAACAGCTTGGGTTTTCTAGGGTGAGCTGTTTTCTGCCGTGTAGCAGACTGCTCAATGGCT